ATGCCTGCCTCTTCGTGGGGTACATAGAACATTCCTTGTTCCAATCCTATTCCAGGCCCCACCCTCAACTCTTTCTCCGATATATCAATGATATCAATGATACTGCTTCCCTCTCTCATCCGGAATTGGAAATGTTCATTAATTTCGCTTCCAATGTCCACCCAGCCCAGGTGAAAGTGAGGGCAATCTCTGACTCCTCCCTCCCTTCCTCGACATCTCTGTTTCCATTTCTGGGGATAGACTGGCCACTACTATGCACTATAAACCCACTGACTCCCACAGCTACCTGGACAATACATCCTCACACCCTGCTTCCTGTAAAGACTCCTTCCCATTCTCTCAGTTCCTCCATCTCCATCGCATGTGTTCAGATGAGGCCAACTTCAACAAGGGAGCCTACAAAATGTCCACCTTCTTTCTCGATCGAGGATTGCCCAAAACCATTGTCAACAGGGCCCTCACCCGGGTCTGACCCATCTCCCACACTTCCTTCCAGCAACAGCAATAGGGATCCCCTTGTTCTTACCTACGATCCCACCAGCATCCACATCCAGAAGATCATCAGATGCCATTTCCGCCACCTCCAGCAAGATGCCACTACCAGACACACACTCCCCTCCACTCCCTTGTCAGCCTTCCACAGGGACTGTTCCCTCTGGGACACCCTGGTCCACTCTTCCTTCGTTCCCAACACAGACCCCATGGCACCTTCCCCTGCAACCAGTGAAGGTGCAACATCTGTCCATTTACCTCCTCCCTCCCCAGTATCCAAGGGCCCAAACATACCTTCCAGGTGAAGCAATGCTTCACCTCCACTTCCCAGAATCTAGTCTATTGCATTCGCTGCTCACAATGTGGTCTCCTCTGCAGTGGGGAAATAAAGCGTAGACCAGGTGACTGCTTCACAGAACATCCAAGTTCTGCTTGCAAAAAACAGCCTGAGCTTTCAGTTGCCTGCCGCTTTAACACACCACCCCGTTCCCTGGCCAACATCTCTGTCTCAGGCTTACTGCAGTGTTCCAGGGAGGCTCAATGCAAGCTGGAAGAACAATACCTCATTTTCCGCTTGCAGACCCTGCAGTCCTCCGGACTCGATAGAGTTCAATAAGTTTAAGGCCTCAACTCTCCCATGTCCTAGACCCCTAACCCACACACTAGGCCTTGTTATCATCTCGGTAGTGTATAATGGCAGGTTATTGTTAGTCACTGACAGTCCCCATTAACAACTATTCATGCTCCTAGCCAGATTGTTATCAACTCCTTTGTCTGTTCAACTGCTCTTCTCTCTCTCTCTCTTTGGGCTCTATCCTTTATCCTATTGTTTACTCCCTATCCAATTCCCCTCCCTATTTTCTGCATATAAACAAACATTTTCCCCAGCTACCATCAGTTCTGAGGAAGGGTCACCGGATTCAAAACGTTAACTCTATTTTTTCCTTCACAGATGCTGCTGAGCTTTTCCAGATTCACAGCATCCGCAGTTCTTTCAGTTACGTCTTTAAGTAAATCTAGTTTCCCTTAAGATAGTAAAGCAGGAGTGAAAGAGCTTATCAACATTCAAAACTGTTGAGTAATTCCTATTCCATGTTTTCTCTTAACTAGGAAGAGAGAGCCAATAAGTGATCCACTGTTGCATAAATGATCATAAAATACATAACAACTCAGAGAAACCACCAGAGTGATCATTTCCCTATTCAGGACAAAAGCAATTCACACCAGTTTACTTCAGTAACAAAAAAAATACTATTTATTGTAACACATTTGACTTTAACAAAACTAGTGAAAAGAAAGAAAAACAGAAATTGCTGGAAAATCTCAGCAGGTCTAGCAGCATCTGTGGAGAGAATCTCCACATCATAAATAAAGACAAAATCAAATAATTTAACACATACACTACGGATGGAAAAAGAATAAAGACAAGGAAAATAAAACTACAAAGATGAAAAGTCATTTTCCTCATAGTCTTTTTGATTTTTGTAATAGTAATATGCTGATATCTGTAGCGTTATGGTCATTCTTTGATTCAATGTTTGATTTGGTGAACTTCAGTATTTTCTTCTATGATTATGAAATATTTAGTTCAGGCTTTCTCTCCAATGCAAAAATACAGGGGAGGGGGAAAAAGAAACAGAGAGAGGTTGGGGCGAGGGGGGCGGGTTGGTTGTGAGAAAGAAACAAAGTGTAAGAGTGTTAGAGAATGATGCTTTCTATTTGCATGTACAAGATGTTTTTTGCCATCTTGCTGTTCTTGGCATTTCCAGCTTTTAAATACTTTTTGACTCAACCAGAGCGCTATTGCCAGGCAGAATTTTTTTTAAATTGAAAGATTATTTGTGCTACTAAGTCTCAAATTCTCTCTCTTACTTTTTCCAAGGAACACCATTGTATTATACAGCTTAACAATGTACAACAATAGTCCAACTTCCAATTTGTTTTATAGTTCCAAAAAAGATCTTTATACACATGTTTTAACTATAGTGTAAGCAGTCTTTAATTCAGTTGCAATTTGTACCAGTTAACAAAAATATTTCCCTTTGCAGAAGTAACATTTTCCTGCACTGGTTTACTAATGTTATCTAAATTATGTGAATCAGTCTACACTGTCATCTCTTTCATTAGGTTTACTGAAGTGAACAAAATAGAGCAATGCTGCTGGATCTATAGTGACTCAATTGTCCCTGAACTGATTTAAACTTTTCTGGTTAACAAAAGGTTAAAGATTACTAATATTAAAATATTTTGAGGAATCAGCGATGTTAATGTAAGAGTAACAGACTTCAGGACAGCTGATTAATCTTTTTTGTTATTATGTGTTGAGCACCACAGCTGCCTCCATACAATCAATCCAGATCATACACCATTACAAGTAATACCCAGAGAATGGATAGGTTATCAAAAGCAGTAAGCTCTCTTGCTGAATGTACAGATCAATCATATGAAATTCTCAGAATGCACAAATGTCCACAGTTTACAGTGGTATGGAATCACTGAAGTACATATATATCCTCCCATGGGAAACGAATATAGCGGCAAAAGAGCAATCCATCAGTACCTGGTAGCATCATCAATTTGGTACCAGCTCTGTCCTAATGACCATAATCATGGCATTTGAAGTAATAAATCCACAGCAATGGCAGCAGAAGACACACTTTGCGTAAGAAGAAATCCTTGATAAATTAATTAGGATCTAGCATATTTGCATATGCTACAAAGCCAACAATGTAGCACCCGAACACAAAAGGAGCACACAACCAATAAATGTGTAATATACTAGGAAAGACACTGAACTTCTCACAGACCAAAATAATACACAAGTCAGCATGGGCACAAACCAGAACACCTCACATACCAAAACTGATAGCAAACTGAAACATTTGTTCTTTGACATTTTTCAACTCAACAACTGCTTTTACATAGCACCTTTGTCAAACAGAAAATATTTTTAAAAGAGTCCAAGTACACACTATTAGCTTTATTTCAGTTGGCCACACACCATAAAGCACATCCTACTGACGGGTCTCTGCCCACATTTGTACAACCAATTCACACTCAATTAATCACCCGTTCCTTCTTTCCATTAGATCTTGGTCACTCCTACAGACCATATTAGATGTAAGAGACAGTAGGAACTGCCAATGCAGGAGAATCTGAGATAACACCGTGTAGAGCTGGATGAACACAGCAGGCCAAGCAGCATCAGAGGACCTTTCTGAAGAAGGGTCTCGACCCAAAACGTCAGCTTTCCTGCTCCCCTGATGCTGCTTGGCCTGCTGTGTTCATCCAGTTCTACACCGTGTTATCTTAGATGTAAGAGATTCCATTTTCCATTCAAAATAGGGGTTCAACAACTGCAGAATAACTTACATAACTTTGATAGTCCTAATTCAACTACATTCATAGAGACAAGCTGTTTATTCAGTTATATGAACCAGCAGCTTCCGTGAAAATGATAGAATACAAGGCAACAGTATGTTCAGATACAAAAAGTAATTTAATAAAATGTCACAGAATCTTTAGATTTATTAGACCAGTAATCTAAATGTCATTTGTTAAAAATCAGGAAAAAAAGTTTCCTGAAATGATGGATTATTAGTGCAAAAATAGAAAATCTATAATTCTCAAGCTATGATCTGAACTATATGAATAAGATCATGTTAAGGTTTACAAAGAGATTTCTGTTCATTCAAAAAAGCTAAACTCTGATTTTAAATCATAATCTCATAATTACTCTGGCTTTATTCTGACCGTGTACAATGTTTGCCAACTTAAGAACATAGTAGAGTAGCCGGAAATAAAACAATGTATTTATTTAAAACAGTGCAACATCTTTATCTTTTTATAATACAGTTTCAAGTAATTCCTGACATTTAAGCAAGTCTACTGTTGTAGGATGCTTTTTTCCAATGCTATGGTTCATAAAACAACAATTTATTTGCATCAGCCTGCAACATAATATTGGATTGCAAAACTTAAATATAAAACTCTGTATGTATGTTTACACTGAAAATAACAGATACACTAAACCTAATCATCCAATCGGAGGGTAATTAAAACATCTGCAGAGTAGTTTATGTTCCCTCTTGAATTTTGTTGGGCGAGAAGGGATCACACTCAGCAATTGAATGACTATGCAGGCAATGCCCAAAGCATTAGTCTCAAAGACATATTGAAAAGAGACATCAAGCACGGATCAGCAAAAGTTTTGGACACTCAATCATGCGCTTTCTTTCTGAACATCCAAATCAACAGCAAATATGTCCATTGCAGTTTTGATTCTGGCTGATTGTCTTTTGTCTCCAGTATATCCAAAGACTGAAATTGAACCATGGGGTATGATGCTGGGGCTGGATTAATTCCTAACACACTACATGCAGGGAGGGACCTGCTTCACACCTTCAAAACGACCACCACCACCACCAGCACCAGAGAAGGCCTGGCTGAAGCATGGGCTCGCGGTCTGCAATTTGAAGAATGAAAGGAAATGAGGGGGTTGCACTCACGATGACAGAGTGTTTCCTAAGGTCTTGCAGACCGGATAGGTCCATGATGTTGGTGGTGCGCGTGCGGCTTTTCATGCCTTCGAGGCCAGCCCCGGCCCTGTCCTTCGCAGTGAACCATTCAACCCGCCCTACCACCGACGAACACTCCACACCTGCTGTGTCGTCACACAGCCCTCCCCTGTGACGACAATCCGCGCGCCCCAAACTCACCGAGGCTGCGCAATGCAGCATATCCCATTGCGCGTGCGCTGTTTGAGGCCAAGGGCGGGAAATTTAAAATCACCAAAAAAAACGGTTTACGACGGTTGGTGGGCTTGGTCAGGCTTATCGATTTGAGCAGTAACACTTTACTCATTAATAAAAGTTAGTCCTTCCTCCATCGTTCCTAACTAACGAGTCCGATGGACTGCTTCTGCCTTGATCCAGCACTTTCTTGAAGCAACTGTTCAACCACCAGACTGAGGAACGAGTCAATCAATCAATCAATCAATCCCCTGACTATCCGAACTGGTCTAGTGTTTAAAAGAGCTCTAACCTGTCCACACGCTGAAAGCAAAATCTTAGTTATGGATGGGGGAAAGTGGAAGGATTATCCATGAAAGAATAGGAAACCTTGGGAATAACTTGAGAGGTTCCTTGAAAGAGTTAATGCCACAACGATGGACTGAACAGGTTCCTTTTGTGCCGACTGCACAAATCTATGACCTATACAAACATAATTATAGAAGATAACTGCATTTACTATTATTTTAAACTCATATGCCAGCAAGTAAGGTTGACAACTAAACGGGCAACAAGGTGCAGGGCTGGATGAACACAGCAGGCCAGGCAGCATCATAGGAGCAGAGAGGCTGACGTTTCGGGCCTAGACCCTTCATCAGAAAAGGGGGGTTCTGAAATAAATAGGGAGAGAGGGGGAGGCGGATAGAGGAGAGGATAGGTGGAGAGGAAGCAAACAGGTCGAAGAGGCGGGGATGGAGCCAGTAAAGGTGAGTGTAGGTAGGGAGTTAGGAAGGGGATAGGTCAGTCCAGGGAGGACGGACAGGTCAAGGGGGCGGGATGAGGTTGGTCGGTAGGAGATGGAGGTGCGGCTTGAGGTGGGAGGAGCGGATAGGTGGGAGGAAGAACAGGTTAGGGAGGCAGGGACGAGCTGGA